TGCACTTGAGCCAAAATTGGCACACAACTGAATTGCAAAACTGAACATGCAAGTGAAAACTGCAGTGCTGGTTCCGGCAGCTCTGCATATGAAACGTGCTCACACTCGCCTCTCAGCAAGGCTTCCAGCTTATCTCAAGCTTGGAGTGGGCACTCGCGCTGAACACAGAAAGCTGCTACAAACTCTCTGCTCGAAACTCGAGTAATGAACACGAAAAAAGAAGAAACGAGCGGGGGTGGAATTGCCCTTAAGCCTTTTAAAAAGTCTCACTTCTCTGGTTTATTCGAGGGGGGTGGAATTAGAATACATTCCCTCCGGAGAAGTACTACGCCTCTTAAATTGCTGCCAAGGCTGCAAGAACTTGCGGCTTTAGAGGGGAGCTTTAGGGGGCCTTTAAGGAACAGAGGGGCTTAAAGGGGGGCTTTAAGCCCCCAAAACCGGGGCCTTAAAGGGGGCTTCAAGGGGGCTTAAATGTTTGGATTGAGCTTTGCTTTCTGCACATTACATTGTCCATTGCGTGAAGAACATGCAACACTGACAGAGAACATTGGCATATAGACATTGCCCATGATGCATTGGCTCAAGTGGTTCAAGATTGGCTTAGCCCCAGAGATTGCTAAGCGAGAGATTGCATCTGACAGTTGTATGCTTGCATTGTGGTGTGGCCAAGACCATTGATTGAACAGTCATGTGTTTGGTAGTTTGCAGTTTGATATTATACAGAAAGTGACCTTTGTGATGAAGCTTTTTCAAAAAAAACAGTGTACTGTGGCAGAAATTGTGTGCGAAGTACAGATTGCACATGTCAGTTCTGTCAAAGAATTGCAGAGCATGGGCAGAGAGAATTTTGTTGTGACTGCTGTGTGGAGAGTGATTGCGAGTTTTGGTCGGAACGTTTGATTCGTTTGAGTTTTGGTCGGATTTTGGTGATTGCAAGTCGCCAAGACGACACGCATTGATGCTGAGTGAAGCTAAGGTTGTGTCTGAGATTTGTGAAGCCTGATTGACTGAGGTACAACGAATGGAGGATTGGACAAGAAGGAGAAGTAGATTGAAAGAAAAGAATGGGCAAAGGAAGTGGAGGTTTCAGTCCCCACAGAGAGCAGGAATTGCAAGGAAGTGGAGGTTCCAGTCCCCACTGAAAAGATTGGAGGTTCAAGTCCCCAACGAAAAAAAAAAGACAAAGAAAAGGATTAGGAAAGGGGAAAGGATTTGAAAGAAAGAAAGGCGAAAGAAAGCTGACATCAAAGAATGATGGCCAAGAGGAGCCTTTGGGTTTTCAAGCTTGTGTCCCTGCCTAGAAAGAAAGAGGAAAAGAAGAAATGATTGAGGGTTCCAGTTCCCAGAAAACTGTGTACTCAGGAAAGAAGGTAGAACAGATGAACCAGACATGATTGATGTGGATCAAAGCACAGAAGCGTTGCGTGTATCTGCGTGACTAAGAAGCACCAAGGTGTTGTTGAAGAAGGATTGGTCGATTGCTTGGTTGAAGTTGAGAGAGTTGATTGAAGAACCGTTGAGGGTATGTGAAGGAGTTGTGTTGGATATTAAAAGGTGCTGAAAAGGAGATGTCCAGAGAAGTGCACTTGACAAAGGAGTGATCTGAAGCTGATTCGCCAAGAGAGGCCGGACAGATTGGATGGACAAGGTTGACCATTGAATTCAGCCCAGCTGTAGCTTGCATTCCCGAACACGTCGGGCCGTCCACCACGACCTAGTAGGTGTATTGCTAAAACAGCAACTCTCGAGATTGGTTGGAACTGTGTGCAGTTCCTTCGGCCGAATATTGAGACTCTGTCTCATACCGTTTACTGTGAGTGCGCACCTTTACTCAAAAGCCTTAAACATTGTTTAGCACTTGGGAGTGCTTGCGTGAGAATTTGAAAGGCATTGTGGGTGTCCATTGTCGTGTTGCTTGTGCTTCGTATTTGAGAGATGTGGCCTGTGAAGACTGGAATTGTTGGTCGAATGGTTTACTGCGTACTTTGAAACATTGATCCCAAGCCGTTGTGCATAGTTGAGCCTCTATAGCTGCGCTAGCTCCGAGGGCGGATTGGCTGCGACCTTGTAAGCGCCAGTGAAGCTCGGATTGGGCCAGTTGTTTGAAAGTTGTCGTTTCTTGGTGAGTCGAACTGTCATTGGCATGAAGCATTGGACCGTGCTGTTGCCCTTGCTTGAGCATGTGTGAGCATGATTGTCGTTGTACCTTGATTGCAGCAAGGAGTGCGTTGAGGCACGAGCTGCGTGCTTGGTTTGTGCTCGGTTGATTGATGCTATTCATTTTTTTTCCAGAGCGCGTTGGATTGACGATGGATTGTCTCAGACATGGTCGGCGCAGATCAGAGCATTGGAAACGTTTTGATTGTCCTGCTTGAAGCGTGATTGATGGATCAGCGTTGGCTTGTTTGCTTGGATTGCTTACTTGTGACAGTTATTGGTCGTTTCCTTGAATTTGAGAGAAGTGCATGCTTTTATGAGTTTCGTGTTCCGTTCACTCGGGACAGCGTTGAAAGGCGCGCGTGGGCGCTGCCTTGAAATTGGTCAAAGGAATATCTCCTTCTGCAGGGCTGCCAGTGCACAGCAGCTGTGCTTGAAGGAGTGAGCTGATTGATTCCTTGCCTTGCTTCGCCGTTGTGGTTGTTGGCTTTGTTGCTTGTCGTGCTCGATTGCAGTCAGGTCGGTTTCGCCGCTTGAAGATGGCCTTATTGCTAGTCCCAAGTTGGCAGTTGGATGGGTTTGGTCCTTTCCGTGGATCCTAAACCCCAAAACACGCCGAAAACCAAAAATCGGTCGATTGAAAAATCGTTTTGTCGTACAGAAGCCCTTGGCGGGTGTGCTCAAATACTAGGGTTTTGTGTACTTGGTTGTGGTTGATTTTCTCAGATGTGCTGATTGCACAGCAAGGGACGGAAGCGTGACATTGTCTCTTCAAGGGACGGAGTCGTTGGTTAACCATTGTGAGTTTCAGCTGTGGATTGTTGGAAGAGTGCGTGCTTGCTGGCTTGCTTGCTTGCTTGGATTGACCAGTTGGAGCCGTGAGTTGAGACAGTTTATTGCTTGGTGCCTGCGCTGCAACACATTGAAGGTCAGGTGGTGAGCGTATGCTTGCCTGTGAGTTTGATTTTGTTACAAGCGTCTGCTTGTTATTGGAGGTTCAGGTCAGGTCAAGGTGGCTCAGATTGAGTCGCTGTTGATTCTTGGCTCATGGTGATGACAAGTGTTGTGCTTTTTGGTTGCCTGGTTTTGGTTGCTTTGTGCTGCGTTGTCGTTGCTACATTGGTTGGAAAACAGTTGTGCCTACAACTCCTACGATTCAGGTAATCGTGCTGTAAGTACAAACCTTTATTTTCCGGAGAAAAATTTTCGAATTCTACGAATGAGAAAGTTTTTCGGCTCAGACGAAGAGAGGCCACAGCCCTCTCAGCCACAACCCTCGTGGAGAGGGTCCGGGAAAATTTTTCTGCCTTCAGCCAAGTGTGCTGGGGGATTAGCATCCTGCGGCCTGGTGGGGGGAGCGGGAGCCTCACAGAAGGTCGATGGCGCTTGGAGCTTACACTTTACGCTTGGTTTTGAAAGCCGATTGCCATGCTGCTCTTGAGTTTGCTTGGGGCATGTGTGCGTTTTTGCAGTTTTCTTGCGGCATGTGTGCGTTTTTGCAGTCTGAGCCAGGACGCAATTTAAGGATTCTTTTCTCCAGGTCTATCTTGGAGACTTTGTGAGTGCGTTGGTTGCTGTGCATTGCTGTCGCTTGAAGTTTGCTGGAGTGCAGGTAGATTCCTGGAGACGAGCTAGTGTCTTAGGTTTCAGAACTTGCTGCAGCTGGTAGCTGTTCTCGTCGACTGCGAGAGTTGTACATGTCAGGTCAAGATATTGTATCTTGCAGGGAACCAAGTTTAGAAGCTTTGGCCTGGGTGTAGAAGCAACCTTGTCTATACGTTTCTCCTGCAGCAGAATCAGGAATCAGCTTGCGCAGTTCACGCCCCGTCCAGGCATCTTGATGTGGGGACCCGGAGTGCCCTCCTCGTTAGCCGACGGCCAAGCAAAAGGTTCAGCAGCGTGTCCGTCCTGCCCTGACATCAGGTCCTAGACGCTAAGGCACGGAAGGTATGAGCAATCAGTGCTTGCATTTGCACTGTCTCTGGAGTCTGCTGCGTGGTTTGTGTTTTTGAAGCATGTTGGTTTATGTTGGACCTTTGCAGAAAGAACCACATTGTCAAGTGAACACTGCTGCACTTCAGGTGGTGTCCTTCGAAGTGAAAAGTCTCCGGGGAGAATTATAATGCATGAGCAGTTCCAAGAATGCTGCAAGGGCAGCTCAAGAGAGATCAAGCTGCTAAGGCAGTCGTGGTCAAAGATCGGCTGAAGGGTCAGCTCGTTGAGATCTGTTGCAAGGGCAACTCAAATAGTTTTGCTGCAAGGGCAGCTGAAGATGGCAAGGGCCAATATTCAATGCACACAATGAGTGTGCTTCATACATCGCTGCAAGGGCAGCCCATTCTTTCAGGCCGTGACGACAGCCAAATCCGGCAAGGGCCGGCAAGAGGTGCAAGGGCACCGATCAGTCGTCTAGTAGAGACGAGAGGTTCTCTCGAGAGCTCGTAAACAGAAAGATTGCAAGCTGCTATCATCTCAGCACTTAATTGCACATTTCAAGGGAAAGACGTGCTGACATTTGAGTATACTCTCCCAAACCTGAATTTCTCTCGGCTCAAAAAAAAAAAGAGAGACAAAAAGGGTAGCAAAGGCTCTGAGAGGAAACAAAAGCCAGGGGGCAAAGAAAAGAGGCGTAAGCCCAGATGTTTCCGTGGCCCTTCTTTCCGGGCGGTGAGTCACAAGGCTCTGCCTCCAGGGGCCGCAGGAGGAACAGAAGCAGCAGCGACAGCCGTCGCTCAAGACGCAGAGACAGGCGCCGAAGGGCGTCTAGGTCGCGCAGCCCAAGGGGGCGTCGAGAAAGGTCTCCAGAGACCCAGCCGAGGACCCCAATTGTTGGGAGCCCTAGCATGCCAGCTCCGCAGCCAGGATTTCACTGGTGCCAGGTGCCGACTGCGGTCTTCGGCGTGGCGTCTGGCCCACAGACCCAGGCATCCCTTCCTGAGGCAGCTTCTTCTTGGAAGGACTCCTCCCGGTGGCAAGAACAGTCCACCCCATGGAAGAGCCAGCAGTCTTCATGGGGCAAAGGTTGGGGGCATTCCAAGAACTACGGCTCCAGCAGCTCGTGGCAGGGCTCTGGAGGGAATCGGCGTGAGAAGTGGGACAAGCCCAAAGGCTGGAACAAGTGGCCCAAGCCTGAGCAAAAGCCGGCTAAGGAGCAGTATGGGCGAGGGGCTGCCCCCAAGGAGGAGGAGCCGGAGACTCTCCTCGACCCAGTTATGGCTGGGATTTTTGGCGCCCGGCAGCAGGGGCCGCCTGAGAGGCCCGACTCTGCATTCAACGTTGCGGAGGCGACGGAGGAGGAAGTTCAAGCGGCGGCCAATCGCAAGGCTGAGCGCGAAGAAGAAGGGTTCCACAGTCAGCTCTGGCAAGGGGCGATCGCTAAGGCCCTCGCAGACCCCTCGCGACCCAAGTGCGCCCGAGAACTGATGCGTGAGGGCATCTTGCGCAGCTGGTGGAACATGTCCTGGAAGGACGCCCGAGGCCTGATTGACGGGACCTTGGTGGACGAGTATCGCGATCGGTTGATGCTGTACATGGCAAAGTACAAGAATCCCACCGAGGTGCCGCAGCCGATTGTCGAGCGCTGTGCATGCTTGTTCGCGTGGTTCAAGCAGAACTCCAGGCCGCTGGACATTGAAGGGGACTTCGATGCGATCATGTTCGCAGTGCCAGGGCAGAAAGTGCTGTGCTTTCGCACAAAGCTGACAGGGCCATCCTTCCTGGAGCCCGCAAACCACCGCTACACGATGACAATGTCCCACGGCTTGCCGTGGACAGCAGCCGTGGGTGTGGGCGAGTATGGGGAGATAACCCCGGGAGACTTCACGGACGGCGACTTCCCGTCCTACGGATTCAGCGGCCGAGGGGTCTGCAATGACTCCGGCTTTGAAGGTATCAAAGCCTCAATCTCCAAGGTGGCTGCAAGAGCCAAAGGAAGGGACGTCATCTTCTCGATGGAAGGGCTCCTGCAGGAGAATACGCAGGTGGAGGGGGGCATGCCGGCACTGAATGCTGCTTGCCGAGATGCAGGCAGCGCGCGGTCAGGGGACCACCTGCTTTTGAGTCCCACCTGTGCAGTTTTGAGGGCCGTATCCGTAGCCTGGCCAATCTGAGCCAAGAGCCGAAACACTGAGCCTCGATATAAGCTCGTCGGGAGCCATAAAAGAGTGTCCCGTTCAGACAGGGCGAGTGAACTTTCGCTGTGTCATCATGTTTGCAACAGGAATTTTGTCTCCCTCACGTGTTTCTTTTCATGCAATTATCGAGAGTTTTGGGTCAGTTTTGGTTCAAGCCCCAGATGGCTGGTCACCTAAGAGCATCGGAGGTGCCTTCTGACAGCGAGTCGGAAGGCCAAGAAGTTAACCAGCATCGTGTTGCTCAGGTCCTGATTTCCGCAGGACCACCGAATGTGCAACTCCCCTGGGAACAAGGAGTTTTCAGGGACATCTTCGCACCTAGACCAGTGGTGTCACTGGACTGGCCAGAGCCCAAGGTTCTTGTCAATGTGGATGAAGCCGAACTATCGTCTACACCAGGTCCCAGCGTTTTGCAAGACAAAGACAAGACGCCAATCGCAGGTGTCTTCAGCTCCTCACCGGGAGCCAATGTTTTCAGCAAAGTGATCAAGTGCAAAAAGAAAGATGAGCCTTTTGAGGAGGCTGTTGCAGGCATGTGGTTGAAGAACATGCAGATGTGGAAACAGCTGTTCGAGGCCTCCCCGTCCACCACTTTTGCCAAAACATTACAGGAATTGGACGAAGAGGAGAAGATGTTGTCCCTTCGTGACATGTTTGGATCGAAATCACCACACACAATCCAGAAGCGTGCATCAACCTTGTTGAGATTGTTTCGTTGGCTTCAAAAACAGGCCGATGTGCAAGGGACCTCTGTGGAGGAACCCCTTCTCCCATCAGAGGAAGCGGTGTACAAGAGAGATATCCCACAGGAAGAAGGGCAAGCTGGCACCTCAGAGCGTGGTACAAGCGTTGAAGTTTGTGAAATTTGTGCTTTCCATTCCAGATGTGGAGAATTCCATCTCCCCCAGGGTCCAAGGCTTGGCCGACCGAGTGGCAGGCGAGCACGAGCCCACACATCAAGCCCGGGACCTAACAGTACTTGAAGTTAGGTTTCTGGAAGAGTGTGTTTGGAACGCGGAGCTCCACATTGTCGATCGATTTGCAGCAGGAGTATTCCTGTTTCAGATCTTCAGCAGGAACCGTTGGTCGGACATCAGGCACGTGCGATCCTTGGAGTTCGATTTTCTGGAGATTGGCCCCGAAATTTGTGGTTTTCTGGAAGGCAGGGCCAGAGAGGTGAAACAGTCCAACAAGAAGAAGAAACTCTCGTTGTTCATGCCCCTTGTGGCTCCAGAATGGCAGAAAGTGGCTGCCGAAGCAGGGATCGTGCTCTCGAAGACCCCTGTAGGCCCTTTACTACCGGCCACCGCCCCAGACGGTGCCTGGCTGCAGAGGTCCATCGACTCCGCCGAGGCCTCCAACTGGCTGACGGGACTGCTAAGGAACCGCGACCCCTCAACAGCGAGGGTTACCACACATTCCTTGAAACACACTGCTCTGGGCTGGTTGAGCAAATACGGCATTGCGGGCGAAACACAGACACTCTTGGCACATCACTCTACTGGAGCTTTGAGTACATTAGCTTACTCAAGAGACGCCCTTAGTGGCCCCCTCCGGCAGCTGGAAGAAATGCTAAAGCAGGTACGGGAGGGCTCGTTTTGCCCGGACGCTACTCGAAGTGGATACTTTGCCCGTGCCCAAGGATCAGAGGCAGGTGCGTCTGTTGACCTCGGGTCCTGGTTGCCGATCAGCAAGGCAGGCAGCTTAGATGGGCTGCCCGCGAACTCCGAAAGCACGCGTGAGCCTTTGCCAGCTACAGTGGAAGACTTTGAGGACGATTTCCTGGGGGTTGGACCGCTTTGCTCCTCGCAAGGGAAGGTTTTTGAGTCACCAAGTGCCATGCCTGTCTTGGAAGCATCTGCACCGTCGGTAGCGGAAGGAGACGAATCCCCCTCGAAAGAAAGTGAGGAATTAGACAGGTTGGCTACCGTGACTTCTGGGCTTTGCGAGGCGTTGTTCGATAAGGACGACATACAAGGTGCAGATGATAACGAGGAGGCAGAGATCTCGCCCACCACATCAGCAGACGGGTCCTCCGAGGAAACCTCTGATGGAGCCTCGTCGGAAGAAAAGGAGGAACCAGCTTCGTCCCTGAGCCTACCGGAGGGTTGGAGTGCGATCCAGAACAAGAAGTCTACCATGTTACATCTGTACAAAGTAGGTCAGACGACGCTGAAATGTGGAAAGTGGATAAGCGTCAATTTTGTAGAAATGGAGAAGCCCTCAGCGAAGTGGCTACAGTGCAGCCGTTGTTTTCAGGAGTAAAGAGAGGGGTGACACTGTTGTTGGCCGGTTTGTGGGCTTGTGCAACACCATCCCTTTGTACCAGCTCTCTCTCTTGCAAGTTGCAGTTTTGGCCCCACGCCCTAAACATGGCAAACGCAGCGGATAGTCAGCCTTTCTTCGAGCAACATGCTCGCAAGATCGGAATGGAGCAGCCACTCTTGGACAAATTCATAGCTGGAGGGGTCAAGACGGTGTCCATGGCAGCCTATGCCGCCACTCAACCGGGTCAACCTCTCACAGATAGGGAGGTCTCCACTCTATGTACGGGTCTGGGGCAGAACAACCCCACTCTTGCACAGATGACGGTTGTCAAGAGGCTCCTGTTCGAGTGCCAGACCATGAGCTTGGCAAACTTGAAGGCGACCGTGGAACAGCAGCCGGACTCAGTCCTACGTAAGCTGCCAGGAGCTGAGAGAGCCCAGCGCCTGGAATTGCAGGCTCAAAGGCTGGGCGGACTCTCGATTGAGCATGACTTGGAGCCCGCCTTTTCAGTATATGATGCCGTGTCGACACAGGTAGAGCAAGGGTCGCTGAAATACCTGCACCCGAGCAAGATCCCCACGCGTCGCCAGGAATTGGCGCAAGGCAAGCCAACCAGGGAACTTGTGCTGGATGCTTCGGGGGATGGCCTCTCGGGTCAAGACAAATCCTCTAAAGTAGAGGCCCAGTTGGGGTCAGACATGGCGACTTACAGGGCGTTGCAGAGACGGGGTCTGGCCTACGACCTCGTTGGCATTTTGAGTTTCAAGGTGCACGAGAAATGGCTTCAGAAGGCCTTTGCTACCTTGCAGACCCCACCGCCCCCAGGTTTCAACCGTCCGACGCTGCAGCAGGTCCTGCGAGCAGATCGGGCCTTGTGGATGGAGCTTGGCAGCAAACAGCCGACCCTGACAAGGGCAGCGGCGAACGCGCCGCTCGCGGACGCCCGGTGCTTAGATCAAGTCTTTCTGGAAGCCACCAACACGGGTTTGAAGGTGAAGATGCTATGCGCTCAGCAGCCTCAGGCTCTGTTGGGCCCCTCTTATCTGCTTCGTGTTTTGCGTCCGGTCCCATAGACTCTGACGCTGAGGAGTATGAGTTTCTCCTGAACCCTCTGACAAAGGTCGTGCATCTCGCGAAGGTGTGCTCGCTTGCACATCCGGCTTGTCAGTACCGTCCTCTTCGCGAGGCGGACGATGACAGACCTCTGCGTGCTGCTTGTGGTATACGTGGCTGTTCATCAGCCGGTGCGCTTCAAAGAAGCTCGGAAATTCCTCAAGGCTTTCGCCTTTGTCTCAAGTTTGGATGTTCTCGTGACGCGCCTCTGCCTGCGACCACGCCTGGTTCGGCTGAGGCCTCTCCCCGTGCGCGCTTGCCGGGAGAGATGGCTGATCCGGTGCCCTGAGAATGTCCGACGGTCTGAAGAGATCCTGTCGTATGCTTGGCAGCACGCTTGCTGCCTGCTCTTTTCCTTTTGGGAATTTTCCGCTGCCGATGAATCTTTTCGGCCTGGCGCATGGAGTCATTTTCTGGATTGCGCGCCTGCTCCAGAATGATTCTCGTCTTTTGCCACCTGCCTTACCAGGCTCGCATGTTCTGGTGAGTTGGGGCCATGACAAGATCTATTGCATCGGGGCTCTCGGGCATCGAAACATGCACGTCCTCTTCAGGTTGTCTGCTGACAGGGACGAGACTCTTGCGCTTTGCTCAGTCAAGTTTGCTGCTGTCGCTCAGTTTTGTGGTTCGAAGGGTTCTGTTCTACTGGCGCCATGGCAGTTCGCATTGATGATGCCTCATTTTTTGAGGCTGCACTTGAGTCCTGGGGCGTTCCGCAGGCTGTCAAGGAGAAACTTCTTGCCAAGGGATATACAACCATGTCATTGGTGGCCCATGCCCTTCCAGCTCCTGATCAGCTGGAATCTTTTGTGATCTCCGTTCTGGGTCGACCTTCCGGTCTTGCGCCCGAAGATCCAGTGATCTCGCCTGCTGCCTCAGCTTTGCGTCGAGTGGTCAAGGAATGCACAGCTGCAGCTTCGAACTCTCCTGCGATTCCTTCGATCGGAGGGTTGCCATCGGGCACCGTCCTTGCTGCGAAACCCAAGCTTGCAGCTGCTGACGTCACCAAGCTGGTGACTGACTTCCATAACAAGTATCCTTCGGAGTTTCTTCGTCCTGAAACCATGCCGAGCCTTTCCCTGCTTCTGCGAGTTAAGGATGGTCTTGACAGCAAGAACCTCGGATGGATTCCGTGGAGATTTCGGACTTCCGAGCAGGAAGAAGCCGTTGTGGAACGTAGACGGCCTCGCACTGAAGTTGCGATGTTATCCTCGCTGCTTGCTGCCCATGAACCTGAACCCTGCCAGGCGTCTGTGCCATCGGGAGGCCCCTTGGAGCCCACGCTTCGCCGATTCTTCGGCATCCTGTGCACGGCGATTGCTTTGCTCGATGGCATGCATCTCTTGCCGCTTCGAAAGATGATGGAGAAGTTCGTTGATTTGGCGATCAAGATCCCGGACGATAAGACGCTCCGTGGCCCTTTGCTCAGTGAGGCAATAGAAGCAGACAGAACGCTCTGGGCGGGCGTTGCCTCACTGCAAGTGGAACATAGCTGGTCGTTAGCAGACGCAGTGGCGGAAATGACGCAGATCCGTCCAGACTTGTACGCCGCTCTTGCCCCTCGTGTGCGGGCTCCTGCTCCTGACTCCACCAAACGCAAAGCACCAGCCCTGGATGCCGCTCCCCGTGCTAAGGCTCCTTCTCGGTCCCGGGCTAAAGGTTCTGGTCGAAAACGTTCGGGTTCCGGGGCTGGCCCGAAGGCGTCGGCGAAGGCTGCTCCCAAGGTGACCGTCTCTGCGTGGCCTGAAAACTGGGCTCGCTCGGTTGATGGGGTGGGTCCCTGCATTCGGTTCCACACTGCTAAGTGTCGAAATGCGAAGTGCCGCTTCAGTCATGCCTGCCCCATTCTGAATGCTTCAGGGGTTCCGTGCGGCCAGCCTCACTCGGCGCAGGACCATGCCAAGGCGCCACATTGACGGGGGGGCTTGGGTCGGCAGTCAGCTCAGGAGGCTGCGGACTGTGAGGCCTTGCTGCGCAATCCTGAGGCTCCTTTTGATTTTGGCCCTTCTGCCCCTGCGTTGTCAGCTGAAATTTTTGCTCAGCAGATCCTCGCCGGGCAGCTGGACCTGACGTGCGCTTCGGTGCTGCAGATTGCGGATCTCCTCCTTTGTGAGTGCCCTGATTTGGATGACCGGTTCGCAGTCGGTAAATCTGTTTCTGCGGGCTTGCATCAATCCGGCAGAGGGGGGCTCCGCAAGTCTTCCAAGTCTCATCCCCTGTCGGTTCAGGTGGTCACTCGCTTCATTTCCAAGGTGGCGCCTTCTTTTCGTTTCTCCAGTTTTGTGCTCATTGATGGTGTGGAATCGCCTGTTCACAAGGATGTGCGCAACTCGGTCTTGCCCAATCTTGTCATCCCGCTGTCGTCCTTTCAGGGCGGTGAAGTGGTTGTCGAATTTTGCGACGGCTCGGACTCTCTCAGCGTCCAAGGCCAATGTGTTCCGGCGGTGGCTCTTCCTGTCAATTGCCATCCGGTTTTGTTTTCTGCCTCGCGCTTCTTTCATGCAGTCCGTCCGGCTCAAGGTCGACGGGTCGTTGTTGCAGCTTACTGCCTCCAGTCTGCTCATTTTCTCCACCAGGATTTGGCCAACCAGCTCTATGCCCTGGGGTTTTGTTTGCCGCGATCATCTGATGCTGACAATCCGCCGACGCCACCCTGCGTTGTGCGGCTTCCTGAATCTTTGCAGCTTGCCCTTGGTCCTCCCCTTCATGGTTCTGCTTCATGCGTACCGGAGGCTTCGGTGATTTCTCGCTCGCCGCGGTCACTGTTCGGCTGCAACTCCCTGTCGTTACAGGGCCCGAGCAGTGTGCCAGCTCCGTCGTCGGTTCATCTGCCTGGGGGTTGTGCTTCTACAGGTTCGTCGCCGCGTCCGTCACCGCAGGGTTCTCGAAATCCACCTGCTCCTGCTCCTCAGCTGGAACCGGAAGTTCCTGCCCTTCAGCTGGAGCCAGACATTCCCCCCGTGGCGGTTACCCGGCCGCGCCTTTTCCTGGATCTTTTTTCTGGGGCCCGACAGCCGGTGTCACGCGCGGTTGCTTCGTTCTCAGCGGATCGGTTTGAACCTGTAGACATCATTCATGCTGAGTCCATGGACCTGCTTCGTGATGACACTTTCAGCTTGCTTTGTGATTTGGCTGATCATGGTGTGGTCGGGGCCGCTCTGGCTGCGCCTATCTGTGGTGAGTTTTCCATTTTGAAGCTCAAGCCAGGTGGTCCTCCGCCAGTGCGCACGCCTCGCTGCTTGCACGGTCTTCCGGAAAATGACTTGGATCAATCTCGTCGGGTGCAGGACAGTTTTCTGCTGCATGATCGGGCTCGCGAGATATTGAGTCGGGTCAGTGCTGGTCATGGTCTCATACTCTTCGAGAATCCCGTCACGTCTATGACCTTTCAGGATCCTGTGATGTTGCGGTGGCTTGCTTCTGAGGCCCCCTTCGCGGCTCAGGTGGCTGCTTGTTCCTTTGGCCTGGACTGGCAGAAACGCTGGCTCTTTGTGTCCAACAGGTCTGAGTCGCTCTCTTTGGCTTGCCAGTGCACTCACGGGCGCCGTGCCCACCAGTCTCTTCTGGGACTTCGGGATGCATCAGGTCAATATGTCAGTCGTCTCTCCGCTGAGTATCCTTCTGGGCTCGCGACTCAGATTGCTCAACTGGTCCTGCCCTTCCTATCTCGAGGGGGCAGGGTGATTGCGATTCAGCAATGGCGGTCATTGCTGTCTCCTTCCCCGGCCTGGCCTCTCCCGCAAACACGTGTCGAGGACGGAGGTGGCCTGCGGAGTACGGCGGCGTGGTTGGAACCTCAAGGTGCAGATGTCTTTGGTCCTCTACGCAAGGAGTGGTCGAAACGTCTTTTTCGCGACAAGCTTTGTCTCCGCCTGACTGCAGCTCTCCAAGGTCCTCCGACATCTTGTCCCCTGACGGACGAGGAACTCGAGCCTTTCTTGGGGGATTTGACTTCCTTCTTGGGCGTGCGACCTGATGAAACAGAAGAGCTTCTGTCGGTCTCGCCTGGCCAGCCTTTGCGTCTTTTCCTCCTGGAAGCCCTCCTGCTGCGCCTCGGCGATTCGGAGGCCTCCATGTGCGCCGATTTGCGTCAAGGGGTTCGTTTGGGTGTCAATCACGCTCTTGAGCCTTCTGAGCATTGGCCTCCTCGGGATTGGGAGCCCGTGTTGCCGGATCTGAAGTTGTGTGAGGGGTCCTGGCTCTCGGCATCTTCGCATCCTGAGCAAGTCCTTTCCCTGCTGCAGGAGGAGCTGGCCGCTGGCTGGATTGAGGAATTCTCTTCCTTAGGCGAAATCCAGGCCAAATTTCCTTCGGTTGCCTGCGGTCGGTTGGGTCTGGTGCTTGCTGAGGGACGGTCTCCTCGGCTGGTGGTTGACTCTAGTATTAGTGGTGTCACGGAGGCTTGCTTCATCCCCAATCGCATGCTCTTGCCTCGGATCGCTGATGTCGCCGCCTGTGCCCCGGTGCATTGCGTCGCGGACGACTGGGTTTTGGTGTCCCTTGACATTCGGAAAGCCCACCGTCTTGTCTTGATCCATCCCGATGATCAGGGGCTCTTATGCTTCTCCTTTGCTGGAAGATTTTTTGTCTCTAAGACGCTGAATTTCGGTGCTCGGGCTTCCGCCTTTTGGTGGGGTCGCGTTGCCGGGGCTCTCATTCGCCTCTCGCATGCCCTCATCTTCTTGCCTCATTGTTTGTGGGACTATGTGGACGATTTCTTGGGAGCTTTTCGGGGGTCTACTGCTCCGGTTCAAGCCGGTCTTTGGGTCATTCTCTTCCTCGTTCTCCGGGTACCCATTAGTTGGGCCAAATGCGCTTGGGCCTCCAAGGTCCGCTGGATCGGTTGGGACATTTCGGTCTCATCCTGGTCGGTATCTCTCCCGGATGAAAAAAGGACTAAATTGCTGATGGCGCTGGATGACGTGTTGGCGGCCCCCAAGGTCAAAGTCCGGGTCTTGGAATCTTTGATTGGTCGTCTTCTCTGGGTCTCTGGCCTTTGGAAAGCGTTGAGGCCACTTCTGTCGCCTCTCTATGCAGCTCTCCATTGCATCCCTGCATCGTGTGTTGCCGTGTCGCCTCGGCTCTGGAATGCTCTGCTCAATGCTGTGGATGAAGCCTGTGTTGTCCAGTGCGAAGTGGGGCACGCTTCCTTTCCTGTCGGTTCGCGTATCCTGCGCGTGGCTAATACAGCTATCCACCGACCTTCTGATATGCATCGCATGGTTTTCCAGCATCGCCGTCTCTGGGTCACTGTCCGTTCCAATGACCATCCTTTGCGCGTTTTGCCTGAGCCTGCGAAAGATGCCCTATCTGCCTGGCGGTCTGTGCTGGAGTCGACTCCTTTGATTTACTCCATTCGGCAACCTGTGCAATTAGCTCTCATGGCTGAAGCCGACGCCTGCGCATCGGATCAAGGATGTGGTCTTGGTGGGTATGTTCTTTGGCCATCGGGTCGTCACGACTGGTTCGCTGTGCAGCTTTCTGCATCTGCTCTTCGGGACTTGTCTCCCCTCTTTGAAGGCTCTCCGCAGTCCCACATCGCTGCGTTGGAACTTCTTGCCCAGCTTGTTCTGATCTGGCTTGTGGATCGTACGTTGCCGTCCTGTCGGACCTTGGTCTCAGTGGCGCTACGTTGCGATAATGCTGGTGCTGAGGCAGCGGCAGCCAAGGGCCTGTCGGCCGTCCGTTCTCTTGCTGCTGTGCTCACAGCTTTCTTGGCGTATCAGTGTCGCCTGGGCGTGGCTGCTGAAGTTGAGCATGTTCCTGGATTCCGCAACCAGCTAGCTGATGAGCTGAGTAGATGGTCTCAAGGGCCATCTCCTCTCCCTCTGGAAGCTCGTGCTGTCCCTCCGCTGGACATACTCTTGGCTGGGGGCTTCAACAGTCTGCAGCTGGCTCCTCGTGAGGCGTCCTGGCCTTCCCATTTCTGCAAGAAGCTTCGAGGATCGTAGCCCGTGACATTGCGCTCTCGCAAAAAAGATGGGGCGGAGTTGATTGAAATGCGTTTCTCGATGGGAAGTCTTTGGCGAGTCCCCCGTGTATTTTGCGGGTCGTGAAACGAGCATGGTGTTTGACTTTTCCCCCGCTTTCTACACTTGTCACCTTTTTGCAACTTTGTTGCACGTTGGGTGGCACGTTCGTGTGTTGGGGGGTTTGGTCCGGTTACACCTGCGATTTTTCGCCATTTCCTTCGAGTGAAAAAAGGAACAGACTGCGTGCTGTTTGTTCGCATTTCTTTGTTTCCTCCGCCTCCTTTCCCTACCTTCATGGTATTCGGATGGAAGATTGAAGTATATTCACACATCCGTTTTTGCATGCGAGATATTCTGGATTCAGAATATATTCCGATGATCGTAACGGATCGGGATTCCCGAACGGTGTGCATTTTTCCTGAAAAATGCGGGTGTTCGGGATCGGGGACCCGGAAGGCATCGGGTTGCATGCTGTTTTTAACGTTTGTTTTCTTCTGTGAACTCGACATCCTGCTGGAACCATTTCGGATCTCTTATTTGGAAATTTTGAACTTTTCCGAACGATCTGTCTCCGGCAGTTGAGTGCTCGCAGCTGCTGCTGAGAGTAGATTTCTGTTCACCCACCTCCTTCCCCATGCACCTGCCATTGGGACGTTTTTCTCGCAGTGTGACTTTTCCCCCGCTTTCTACACTTGTCACCTTTTTGCAACTTTGTTGCACGTTGGGTGGCACGTTCGTGTGTTGGGGGGTTTGGTCCGGTTACACCTGCGATTTTTCGCCATTTCCTTCGAGTGAAAAAAGGAACAGACTGCGTGCTGTTTGTTCGCATTTCTTTGTTTCCTCCGCCTCCTTTCCCTACCTTCATGGTATTCGGATGGAAGATTGAAGTATATTCACACATCCGTTTTTGCATGCGAGATATTCTGGATTCAGAATATATTCCGATGATCGTAACGGATCGGGATTCCCGAACGGGGTCTGGCCTACGACCTCGTTGGCATTTTGAGTTTCAAGGTGCACGAGAAATGGCTTCAGAAGGCCTTTGCTACCTTGCAGACCCCACCGCCCCCAGGTTTCAACCGTCCGACGCTGCAGCAGGTCCTGCGAGCAGATCGGGCCTTGTGGATGGAGCTTGGCAGCAAACAGCCGACCCTGACAAGGGCAGCGGCGAACGCGCCGCTCGCGGACGCCCGGTGCTTAGATCAAGTCTTTCTGGAAGCCACCAACACGGTTGCAGTCAACTTTCACTTCATGCCGACACCTCGTGCGGAGGGGTTCCCAGATAGAGGAGGCAAAGGCGCTGGCAAGGGCCCCAAGCGCTGGGGCGACGGAAAGGGGTACCGACAAAGGAGACAAGGGCCAGGGAGGCAAATCAGCCTTCAAGGGGGCCCGCCTCCCCACAAAGGGCAAATTTGACAGTGGCAAGGGAGGCTTTCCGAACAAGTCCCTTGTCTTGCAAGGAGGCAAGGGGGAGACCCCCATGCCGGCCGCCTTGCGAGGCGGAGTGCCGAACGACGAGCAAGGAGAGCCTCTCTGTTTTGGCTTCAACCTAGGACAGTGCAAGGACGCCCCATTGGGGGGCAGATGTGCACGTGGCAGACATGTGTGTTGTCACCCAGGTTGCTTCCGGAAGCACCCCTTTTCTGAGCACAAGCATTCAGGCCAGGCAGCCTGAAAGAACGCCCCGCTGCAAGGGACGTCGAATGACAGCGCTTCTGCGCTGGACCAGGCGTCCCGAGCTGCTCTGACCGCGCGTCGCGCACAAGCGTGCACGGGAAGAGCCGAAACAGCCATGGGGGAGGGTGGAGACAGTTCGGCCCAATTTTGTGAACAGAACAATTTTCCCGCTTCTGAGGCGGACAGGCCCGAAGAGAGCTGCAAGGACTCGTACCCTGCTGCTATTGCGAAAGGGCAAGAGAAGCAGCCCCCGCTCAAGCGGGTGGCTGAGCCAATCCCACAATTTTCCAAGCCTCCAGCTGAGGCTTCTGCATTTTCACCTCAGGCGAGTCATCACGGCGCGCAGAGGTCTGGACAAGCGCAATGTACTGTGCCCCAGACCATACAGGAGTGTTGGGTTTTGGAAATTTTCGCGGGGTCGGCCGGGATTACCTCGGCAGCTGCTTCAGCCGGCCTCAAGCGGTCAGTCGGAGTAGACAATGTCCGCATGCCGAGGCGCAAGGGCAAGATCATACAGCTGGACTTGCTCCTGCTGTCGCACCAAGGTCTGCTGTGGAAATGGCTGGGTTCTCCAGGACTGGTCGCCGTATGGCTGGCGCCGCCCTGCGGCACATCCAGCAGGGCCAGGGAACTCCCGCTTCCGGGGGAGGACGAGCCGCGCCCTTTGCGGTCAGTGGAGTGCCCGGAAGGGCTCCCAGGCCTTAGCCCAAGTGATTCAGAAAGGGTGGCAAAGGCTAACGAGCTTTACCGGCTCACGGCCCGAATCTGGGACTTCTGCTGCGAAAATGACATTGTGGTAATCATAGAGAACCCCTATCGCAGTTTCTTCTGGCATTGCAGCGCCATCGAACACATCCTCAGGAGTGAACAGGCGATCGTGGTCCAGTGCGACTTTTGCATGATGGGAGGTTCGAGATTGAAGCGGACGGCCCTGCTGTGCAACAGCGACCTCGTCACAGGCCTGGCTGTCACGTGTGATGGATCCCACGAGCACCTGCCCTGGAAAGTGCAAGAGGGAGTTCTCGCAACAAAGCTTGAGACTGCGTACCCACACCAGTTTTGTAAGCACTTTGTTTCCCTGCTGCTGCAGCATCTGACACAGAAGGGTTGTTGGGATGGTCTGAATCTCTTGGAGGCAGATCCCGCAAACTCCTCAGGAGCCAGGGTGGTAACGACGCAGGCGAAGACCAAAAGGGCTGCATCGTTTCAGGTTATCCCCGAATTTCGCAGACGAATCAGATGGACAGTGCCCGGCCAACTCCGTAGTACTCTCCAGACTACACAGTGGTTGGCACCGGACAGGATCCCGGGCTTCAAGGCGCCAGGAGCCCCGGCGCTGAGAGTGACGCCCCTACTGTCTTCTGCGACGAATGTGCTGGTGGAGGTCCCGTGGAACCCACAGGAATTTGTGGCGAAAGCCCGACTGGCCGGCCACCCCCGACACCTGTGTCTCGGGGTGCCACCCGCCCTGCGGAAGGCGATTTTGGCGTGTTCTAAACAGCCTGCCACCAAGGTGATTGAGACTCGAGCTGCGCAGTCACGGAGATGGCTCCAGCGAGCCCAGGAGCTGCAGTTAGCTGAGGACGACTTCAAAGCCAAGCTGCCCGAGCACATTCGCAGCAGCCTCCGTAACAAGAGAATACTGCTCTTCAAAGAGATGCTAGAAGCGTCCCACTGCGCCGACAAGGCAGTGGCAGACGACCTGGCACAGGGTTTTGATCTTGTGGGGCATTTGGACCTTCCGGCAGGCTGGTCCACCGACTTTCGTCCAGCATTCCTCTCCCTGAAGGACCTTTCCCAACTGACGCAGGAGACCAACCACCAGGTCATCAAGGAAGTTGAGGACTCATCTCAGTTCCTGGAAGAACTGTGGCAGAAAAGTCTCGATGAAGTATCAAAAGGCTGGTCGGAAGGACCTTTCCGAGAGCAGGACTTGCCACAAGGAGCTGTAGTTAGCAAACGTTTTGCAATCCAACAAGGGAACAAGGTCAGGCCGATTGACGACCTGTCTCAGAGCCACATCAGCGAGGCATTCGGGAGCATGGGGAAGATCGAGTTGCATGACATCGAGACAATTGCAGCGTCGGCCATCTTGTTCCTGAGGCACGCAGGACAAGGACTGCTTGGTAAAACCATTGACCTGAAATCAGCATATAGGCAACTACCACTGTCCGAAAAGGCACTCAACATGGCCTACGTGGCTGTCAAGGACCCCAATTCGGGGGAGGTTCGCTTCTTTAGGCTTCTCTGCCTTCCATTCGGCGCTGTGGCGGCGGTCCATGCATTCATCAGGGTCAGCCTGGCTATTTGTCATATAGGAAACACGTTTTGGCACTTGCCTTGGAGCTCTTTTTACGATGACTTCACACTGTTGTCAACACGACAGCTGGCCACTAGCGCAGAGGCCAGTGCATGTTTGCTGCTAGACTTGCTCGGCTTTGAGTTTGACAGAGACGGAGACAAGGCCCAGCCGTTCCAGGAGGTCTTCAGATCTTTGGGGGTCGAATTTGACCTTACAGACAGCAGCAAGCAGATATTTAGGATCCAGAATACAGCAGAGCGGACCAAAAGTCTCATCGAAGACCTGGCAGCCTTTCAGGAGCAAGGAGCCTCAAGCCCTAAGACCTGGAATCGACTGAGGGGAAGGCTGCACTTCGTGGCGGGCCAACTCTCTGGGCGCTTGCCGAAGGGCTTCATGAGAAGAATCTCTGACATCATCAATGCCCCCGCATATGTCAGGAGACAAAACCAAGCCTCCCTTTGCGCAGCACTGCAGGGGCTACGACACTACATAGCCGAGGCGTCGCCGAGGATAGTGCGAGCCCAGACCTCAGAGACGGTGTACGCCTTTACGGACGCCTCGCAAGAAGGACTCCAAGGCCTCGAAATGGGCCTGGGAGCAGTCCTGTTCAATCAGGAGGGGCACATCCTGTGCTGGTTTGGCATTGTGTTGCCGCATGACCTTGCTGAGAAACTTCTGCAAGGAAAGTCTAAAGTCATCAACGAGCTCGAGAGCATAGCTGTTCTCCTGCTATTCATTCTAGCCCGAGAGTTTCTGCGGGGGAAACATGTGATGTGCTACTTAGACAATGAGGCGGCGCGCATAACGCTCCTCAAGCTGACCAGCGATTCAGAGGCTTTGACCCTCTTGAGCAATGCTTGCGCATTGTTAGAACAGGAGCTTGAGATGATTCCGTTCTACGCTCGGGTACCGAGCAAATCCAACGTGGCGGACGCCCCGTCTCGCCTTGACTTTACAGGGCTGCCACACAATTGCAGGTTCCAAGACCAGGTGCTTCTTG